GGTCGGGGTTTCTGGAAATGAGAACTTGGTGAGGGTAAGAGCTGGGGCTTTCCTGGGCAGGGGACACAAGCTGGCCTTGAGGGACACGTGGGACTAGGGCAGATGGAGAGCAGGGAGGCTGGGCCTGGAGGGTGGCTTTCCCTGGGGTTACAGGGAAGGTGAATGCGGGGAGGGCCCTTTGTGCAGGGGAGCCAGAGCGGTGCCAGCCTCGATGCCAGCTGAGGCCTGAGCTGCAGTGGGGTTGAAGCCCTGGTGGCCATGTGGGCCAGGGAGGAAGGGGTGGGTGAGCGTGGCAAGGCAGGACCTTCACAGGCCCATGTCCCCAGATGTGGGAGGGGGCCGCGGCGCCCATCCCTGTGGAGGCTCTGAGGGTCACGGACGGTGACTCCAGGCCTGAGGACCTGGTCTACACCATCGAGTAGCCCAGCAATGGGCGGGTGGTGCTGCGGGCAGCGCCGGGCACTGAGGTGCGCAGCTTCACGCAGGCCCAGTTGGATGGCGGGCTCGTGCTGTTCTCACACAGAGGTGGGTGCTAAGGGCCTGGCCCCAGGTTCCTGCTGCCCACGGGGGAGCCCTGAGGTGGGGAGCCAGCTCAGGCCAGTGGATCCAATGCCCCTTTCCCCAGGAGCCCTGGACAGAGGCTTCCGCTTCGGCCTCTCTGACAGCGTGAGCATGCTACCTCCGGACACTTCTTCCGAATGACAGCCCAGAAGCAGGTGATCCTCTTGCTGGAGGGCAGCTGGACCCTCACCATCTGCCCAGGTATGCATGCTGGCCGTGGGCGTTCCTGGCTGCTGGAAGGCTGGGAGGAGCTGAAGGTCGCATGCCAGGGTGATGCTGTCTCTGCAGCCACACGCCTGGGCCTGGATCCCAAAGGCTGATAGTCTCTTTTGCCTCTGGCAGGGTCTGTGCAGCCACTCAGCAGCCAGAGCCTCAGAACCAGCTCCAGCGCTGGGGCAACCTGCAGCTCCTGCTCTACCCTGTGGTGCCATGCCTGCCTGGGCAGCTGTTCTGTGATTCCCCAGCCCCAAAGGCAGCCCCCTTCATCTGTACCTTAGTCTGTTGTAGTGGTGAGCTGACACATCCAGGCGTGACCATGGCCCTCTGTGGCATGCCCCGGCCCTGTTCTAGAAATATCTTATCTATAAATACTCATATATATACACACCTACACGTGGCCAACTGCCCCACCTCTGGCACTGAGCATCAGTCACCATGCTGTCCTTGTGGAGTCTTGTGACCCAACAAGAGAAAGCTGTTCCCTGACATTGTCCCTCCAAAGTGCGCCACCTCCAGTGAGCCTCCCTGTCACCCAGGCCCCGCCATCCCTCCCACCCCCGCCAAGCATGGGGGTGCTGTGCAGGCAGCCCTGAGGCCTGCCAGTCTCTACCAGTCCTGCTGTACCTCGGCTGAGAGTCAAACTCATTTTTAGATGACAGGGAATGTGCCCTCTGTGGACTGTGTTCTCTGTGGAGTTCAGGGGAGGGGAAAGGCCAAGCCATTTCTGGAATGCTGTTGGGAGCAGTGAAAAGGCCCCAACCTTTCCAAGGGACACTGTTCCTGGAAAGCCCCAGCTTAGCTGGTCTTATCCTGTGAAGCCAGCTCTGGCCACTAGGGGTCAGGGCCATGAACACAGCCTGGAGGGAGCCTGTGGGGCAGCCAGCACTCTGGAGGGACAGACAGAACAGGCCACCAGGCGCAGACAGGAGAGGGAGGCAGGGGGATGAAAGATGCCTGGGGTGGATGGAAGTCAGTGCCCTTGAGTGCTGGTACCTGCCTTCCCAGCCACTACTAAATCAGGCTGTCAGGGCTGGATGTGCCATGGCAGTTCCCAGGAAATCCCCCAGGTGTCACCAGCCAGCACACAGGTAACAGGCCTAGAAGGTCCCCAACAGCCCCATTGGATGTGCTCAGACACTGGGGCTCCTCATTCAGTGGCACAAACTCCAGGACCCAGTGAGGGAAACGGGAATACACCAGCCGAGCAGTGTGACTAAGTCCATTTATTCCAAAATAAAAAGCAAAATAAACAGGAGTTGCATCACCACGGAGCCACGACCCCATCCCCACCTCCTTCCTGTCCTCTGCTATCAATAAATAAGTTTCCCAGCCGCAAACAATTATTAAATCCTCCTCCCCATGTGCCAGCTCCCACCTCTGCTAGGTACAAAATGGGGGTGCCATACCCCCTGGAATAGACAACATGTTACACAGATACAATATGTACACTGGGGAAGGGGGCCACCCCAGCAGCCTGTGCCCTCACCTGGTCCACAGTTAGCGCCATTGTCCTGCCTCAGCTGCCTCTCTGAATAAGAAGATGGGAGCCCCCTGAGGGAAGAGTTGCTTTGGTGGAGGAAGGAGGCCATTAGGCCTCCTCCAAACCCACCAACTCCAGCAGCCTCTGGCTCCTAAGTAACAACCATCATCATCCAGAGATTTAAAAACTCAGCCCTGGTCAAGGTGGCAAAGGGTCTGTTTGTCTCCTCCCATTAGACAGGGGTCTTCTCTTGCTACCCTAATAATAAAGGGGTGACTGGGAAGGGGAGGGAGGGACATGGTGGGGGCAGAGACTCCAGCCCCCTTCTCCAGGCCCTGCTGACAGGGCCTGCTTGTATTTATTTTTATATTTATCTCCATGATGTTTTTTTGAAATCTCATAACTTTCTTTTCATAAATTTTATACTTTTCATAAAATTTTTCTACTTTTTATCCACTTTTTTTTACCACAACCTTTCCACATTTTTTATCCCATAACTTTTATTAGTTTGTGTTCTTTTAATAAACACACTTGCATAGTTATATTACAATTTTGTAAAAATAAAAACAGATTATCTCATGCCAAGTGTGCCCAGCGTTTGCAGTCTCAATACCTTTAATACTATAGCTGTCAAGACGCACAAAGTTTTAAGGCAGAAACAGCGCTTTGCAGCAACTGAATAATTTATTACATCACAGGAGCATCACAGCAGCAGTCAGTATTGCCGCTTTAGACAAAAGGCTCAGGATTTCCATCTTACATTCTGTTCACAGGAGTTCATACAGTGGTAAAAGTCATTCTTAGAAAACTTGGCAACTAAAGCTTTGGACTGGAACTGGCATTTCTTTCTCTACTTTTCCTTCTCCTGGTTTCTTTTAAACTCTGATATTCACATTTTAAAATGTTTTAAGTAATTTCAAAACAATAAGATAGCAGTTACACGTTTTAATAGTTATTTTAAAATGACTCTTAAAGATAAAGTTTTGGAGAAGCTATATTATGGATAGGATAGGAATAATTTACATTTCAAATTTTCTTAAAATCAGCTTTGGTTCCAGAACTGATTTTTATTCATTTCTGAAAAACCTATCAGGTTTGATAAAATCCTTTAAAAATGATCATCATATATTTGCAACCTTTAAATAGGCATTTTGATTCTTCCTACAGAAATTCAAATTTATTCAGTTGAACCCACATTTGGAAATTGTTTTATTGTACTGACCTCTGAACAGAGAGACGCTGCCACTGAGCAGGCCTCTGGTATAGCAAACAAGGTACCTTCTGGAGCTGCGAATATAGCTCTAGGTGAGCCCCTGAATCAGTTCATGGTAGATGATGCTAAATAGTGAGATGTTATTGGAGGTGTGGATGAGGAAGTTTGTTGTTGTAATCCTTTTTGGCACCTTATTTTAAAGAATAAATGAAACATTTTTCTGGTTGCCTTTTTACAAATTTAAAATGGAGGGGAAGAATAGAAGCAGGGCACTATTAGGTTACTTCTGACGCTTCAGTGTTATAAATTCAACATATAGACTGACAACCCAAATCAATGGTGAAACACAATTCTTTTCCTTTTTTTTTTTTTTTGTATCTGTTCAATGAAAATAAGAAGGTACAGCCCAAGTTTTGTAGTCTGACTAGAGGGATTCCACTTCAAGTTCTGAAAGCAGGACTTTTACCTTAAAAAACAATAAAAACAAACAGAAACTATGGCATGGGATGGATAAGAAGATGCTTAAACAGGTTTGTGTGGATCTTGTTGGTGCTGAACTATGGCATGAGCCTCATAGGTTGTAAAATAGAGATAGTTGGAGCTAATGTACAGAACTGAATTTTTTAAACATTATTTGTTGTTAAAGTCTGTGCAGTTTCAGTTATCTAAAATAAACACACACAAATATAAAGAAAATAAATTCTGTGTTTTTGATGAACGCTAACCTTCTGATGTTGCCTTCTAAGCAAATTGAAAGCTGCCTTCTACTGAATGAGGAAGAGAACAGACACTTGGCTGAATGAAGTACTGCAGGAGACTCACGTGCACTTTGAAGAAAGACTTAAGTCACTGTCATGTGATTTCCATTCTTTTAGATTTTTCTTAAATAGATGACAAAATGCCTACTCAGAGTGATATTTCGGTTAATATAGTAAATGTATTTTCCTGACTGCCATTCAGCTTAAACATGCCTGTATGGGATTTACTCCACAGGTACCTGATGAACACATTATCATCAGATTGGGTACAGATGCTAAACACTATCTGAAGGTCATTCCTAGTCATTTGTATTTCTTAGGGTAAAAGTGAAGTGATTTGAACTATCAAAATCCCTTTGAAATAATTTATCAATGTATTAGATAAACCCAGTTTCAGAATGATTAAGGCAAACTGTCCTCTGACAGCCAGAGCCTTGAGGACTAGCATGAGGGCTGTCTGCCCTGTGAGGAGGTAGGTCTCATGTCCCCAGGCCCGGACAGCAGGCCTTCCTACCTGGCCAGCTCAGACCAAGAGGTGCCAAGAAGTTCACATTTATCAGTTTATTAAAAATACAGCATTTTTCACATGAGCTTGAGGGATGTGGAAGGTGGGGTGCAGTTAAAAACATCACAGCTGTCCTGGGAGCAGCCGTCGGGCATTTGCACCTTCTACAAATTCAGACACTGCCCACTCCCGAGAATTCAGACAGACCCCAGATTTACGGCAAGGCAACAAGAAAGGGCGGGTGCAAACAAGTAGACCCTCCTGCTAAGAGGCTGAGGTCCCCTCCAGTTCCAAGGATGGGGTGTCAGCCTTGGCCTTCCGAGGTCTGCGCTGGCCTGGGGGAAGAAGAGGTGAGATGGTCAGCTCAGACTCCGGGGCTGCCCTGACAGCCTCTCTCCCAGCTTCATTCACGGGCTCCTAGGCTGCCGTCCCATCCTCTCCTGTAGAGCTGGCTGCTGGGGATGCTGAGGAAAGCCTACCAGAGGCTGCCTGTCGTCCCTTCCTCCTCCCCTTCTTGGGGATTTTGGGAGCCTCTGGGTCCTGCTGGAAGCTGGTCGCCTTAGGCCGCTGGGTTGCAGTTCTCTCAGGAAGGTCTCTCTTTGCCCTAAGTGTCCTGGAAGGGGCCTTGCTTGGAGGTGGACGGTCCTGGATGGAGGAGGCATGGGTCCCTAAGGGACTCTGCAGAGGTTGGTTAGGACTTGCCACTCCCCCACCCTCTTAGGGTAAGGCAGCTGCCTGGGGGGCGAAGCCAGGGGGAGGAGGAGATGGGACGGGGGCAGCCAGGGCAGGAGTACAAGGGAGGAGGCGGCGGAGCAGGCAGCCATACCTCCACTCCATCCTCAGGACAGCTGTGTGGCCTTGGATTTCTTTTTTCAGGACTCGCCCCCTGCAGGACACTGATGTTGGAGTTGGAGGGTCCTGTCCTGCCCCGGGGGGGACTCCCAAGGTTGCAGGGGGATAGGGTAGAGAAGGGTGTTGTAACCCTAAGTCCTTTCTGCTCTCAGCCTATTACATTAGGAGTAGCTTACCTTTGGGTGCCAATGGTCCAGGATCCCCCTAAAGTGGGACGGGGATAATTCAGCTTGCATTGGCTCAGGGGCAGTATTCCTGGGAGAGGCAGGACTCACACACACCCTTCCAGATCAGTGTAGCTTCTGCCCTAGGAAGCCTCTAGGACCTCCCCCATGTCAGAGTCCACATCAGCAAAGCTGCCCTGCCCTTATCTACTTTGACTGGCTTCGAACCTGGGATGCAAGGGAGAGGAGTGGCATGACCCTCGGGAACAATGTGGTCCTTGGAGGGTCTAGACAGGCCCCAAGCATCTCCACCCCAGTTCTTGTGACCCCAGGTTTCATTTCCACCCATCAGCCTCGTGGGGTCTCTTTGCCTGTGTCAACAGGGCCCAACCTGGAACCAGATGGTGTGGCCATGCTGGTCCTGCAGGGAGCTCATGCCCGGCATGCCATAGCACGGGAGCTAGGCGCAAAAAGGGGCAAAGTCCCTCTCCCCGCTCTCTGACCCGTAGCCTTTGCCCCCTGTGGGACAAAGGAACAGGCAGAGATCAGAGGGCAGACGGGTTGGGAGAAGCAGGGAGGCTGGTTAGACCTGGCCTAGACCTCAGCTACACAAGCTGATGGACTGAGTCAGGGGCCAAACTCCCTCTGGTGATGTGACCTCAGCTGGTGTCTTCCCACTCAGCCACGACTTTCCCATCCTGGAGTGGGGTTAAGGATCCTTGTCCTGGCCCTACGCAGTGACTCACACCTGGAATCCCAACACTTTGGGAAGCTGAGGTGGGAGGATCCCTTGGGGCCAGGAGTTCAATACAAGCCTTGGCAACATAGGGAGACCGTGTCTCTACAACTTTTTAAAAAAATTAGCCTAGTGTGGTGGTGTGGGCCTGTAGGCTGAGCCACTTAGAGGCAGAGGTGGGAGGATCACTTGAGGCCAGTGCAGGCAACATGGTGAGATTCTATCTCTACCAAAAATGTGTGTGTGTGTGTGTGTGTGTGTGTGTGTGTGTGTGTGTGTGTGTGAATATATAAAAGAATCCTTGTCCTGTCTGTCTCATGGGTTGAGGAAACACATTTTTTTTTTTCTCAGACGGAGTTTTCGCTTGTTGCCTAGGCTGGAGTGCAATGGCCTGATCTCAGCTCACTGCAACCTCTGCCTCCCGGGTACAAGCAGTTCTGCCTCAGCCTCCTGAGTAGCTGCGATTTCATGCATCCGCCACCATGCCTAGCTAATTTTTTGCATTTTTAGTAGAGATGGGGTTTTACCATTTTGGCCAGGCTGGTCTTGAACTCCTGACCACAGATGATCCCACTCACCTCAGCCTCCCAAAGTGCTGGGACTACAGGCATGAGCCACCGCACCCAGCCAGGAAACACTATTGACAAGTGAGGCCTAGTCCACTGAGTAACAGCTAGGGCTACAAACGTCCAAGCCAGTGAATCAGGCCCAAAGAGGGACACCTGCCCCAGGGTTACACAATAATTTGCTCCAGCAGAGGTCATTCCATCTTTGGCCTCACCCAGCTGGACCACTTCCTTGGGCACTGAGTGGCACAGCTCCAGCAGGTCAGGGCTCTGCAGCTTGGCCTTGATCTTCTGGCTCAGGGTCAGCTCCAGGCTCTGAGGAAGGGGCAGGGGCAGGACCTGTCTGTCAACGGGGTCGTGTAAAGGCAGCTGACCTTCCCTCTGAGCTTGGCAGGACCTTGGGCCATTCATCCCCTCCCCATCCCCGTTGTTGAACTAAGCTGGGGACACCTGACCCCACTTATCCGCTAGGCAGCCCGCGTGGACACCAGTGTGGCAGCACGTGCTCCATCCCTCGGGCTCACCAGCCTGGGCTGCTGCAGGGCCTCCAGGACTGAGCGGGCCTTCTCAAAGGGAGGGATCTTCAGCCTGGAGTGGCGGTGGGGGAAAGCCATGCTAGACAATGGGGAATGTGGACACACCTGGCCCACCCATCCCCATGCCCATGCCTGCTTGCTGACTGGCACAGGATCTCCGCCCACAGATAGTTGCCAATGCCATTGAAGAACCTCTGCTCCAGGAGGGCCTCACAGATGGGCTGGTAAAAGGCCTTGTCTGATAGGTTTCATAGCACATTCTCCCTGGAGCGACACAGTCTGGGTGCATAAGAGGATGGGGAGAGGGGCTCAGAGAACTTGTTTCTGGGTACAAAGGGAAGGAAGCTGGGAGTTCCAGAGTTTCCTCTGCTCCCTGCCTTGGTTTTCCTATCTGTTAATTGGGAACATATGGGATTAAAATTCATTGTGAAAGGATGGCTGGGTGAGGTGGCCCACGCCTGTAATCCCAACATTTTGGGAGTCCGAGGCTGGCACATCACTTGAGGTCAGAAAGGCAGCCTGGCCAACATGGGGAAACCCTATCTCTACTAAAAATACAAAATTAGCTGGGCATGGTGGGAGGTGCCTGTAATCCCACCTACTTGGGAGGCTGAGTCAGATCACTGGAACCCGGGAGGCAGAGGTTGCAGTGAGCCAAGATTGCATGATTGCACTCCAGCCTGGGCAACAGTAAGACTCCATCCCAAAAAATATAAACAAAAATAAATTCATTGTGAAAGGCGAAAAATGCTGATCAAAAGTAACGTAAGGCTGGTGTGGTGGCTCACACCTGTAATTCCAGCACTTTGGGAAGCTGAAGCAGGAGGATCCCTGGAGACCAGGGGACCAGCTTAGGCCACAAGGAAGGCAACATCGATACCAAAAATTTAACAAAGTAGCCAGGGGCTGAGTGGTGTGCCCTGGTGGTCCCAACTACTCAGGAGGTTGAGGTGGGAGAATCACCTGAGACCTGGAGGTTGAGACCGCAGTGAGCTGTGATGGTGCCACTGCATTGCAGCCTGGGCAACAGAGGGAGATCCTGTCTTAAAAAAAAAAAAAAAAAAAAAGCAGCATGCGGTTGTATATGAGGTTGTGTGTTTATCACTGCAGACTCCTCAGGACATGAGAACTTTGTCCACAGCACCTCATGTCTGCAGTCTGGAGCTCCCTGTATAGGACTGGTGGTGGGTGAGACTACATGTGGGTTTGCCATTGGTAGGGTCCACTCTTCTCAGGATCCTGGATGTTCTCTGGCTCTGTGCAGCAGATAGGTGAGGTACCAGTGAGGGCCCTAGAACCCCCGCCCCACCTCCAAGGGCCGTGGGTCTCCTCCCCACCATGAAGAGGATGCACATCTTGTTTCTTTGAGAGAAAGGGTCATGGCAAGACTGACTGACTGATGGGTGTGATGGGTGGGCCAGAAGACAGAGTCCTGGGGTGAAGTTACAAGGGTTGCCTGGGAGGTGCCCTGATTCCTGAGGGAAGCCAGTCACCACACACCCCAGCGGAAGCACTAAGGAAACAGCGCAAATGCTCTCACTGTTTGAGACAAACCTCAGTTAACTTGTGGCATGACTCCCCAGGAAGGCAGAGGTGGGAGGAATCCAGGACCAAAGACTGAGGTTTCCCTGGGGATGTGCGTGGGGTCTGGGGAGGCCAGGAGTCCACTGCCTTCGAAGGCGTCGGAGACGCCCCCGAACCATCCCACAGGCATCCGTGTCTCCTAAGGGCTAACTAACAGCACCACGTCCCCCAGAAAGGGAGAAGTCCACTCCGGGCCTCTGCGTCTCTTGCCAGTTGAATGCTCTTCCTCTGGCTGGCTCATTCTCATCAGTCAGGCTTCAGCTCACCTCCCTAGAGTGGCCACTGCCAGTACAGCCCCACCCTCGCCCAAGTCATCCTCCACCTCCTTCACCTGTTGGGTTTTCCTCAGGCATGCATCTGCCCGTTTCTCATTCCCCTACCCTATCTGAACATCAGTTCTGTGGGAGCAGGAACCACATTCATCTTGTTCACTGCTGTACCCCAAGCCCTTAGAACAAGGCCTGTCATGAAGCAAAGACTCATATATGTTTCCTCTTCAGAGGAAAGAAGCTGTCAACACTGCACCATCTGAGGTGACCTGCATCACATCCCAGGTGGGGCTGTGAACCCTCCTGCAGGCAGGGAAGAGGCACAGAGGAGACCACAGGACACAGACCAGTGGGCAGGCAGGATGTGGGAGACCAGAAACCCAAGGTGGAAACGTGTCATGAGGCAGTCCCCTCCCCACCCCGTTGAAACAATTCTGCTCAGCCTCTTATGTTAAAGCCCCTCCACCTTCTCAGCCTCCTGGGAGCCCTGAGAGGTACTGTGGCATTGAGGGTGGGAGCCCCAGCTTCTCTGACACTACCTGGCCACCTGTCCTCAGGGCAGTGCCAACCCATCCTCCGCTTGGCTTTCCTCTCTCCTTCCCCATCAGTTAGTTTTTGAGACAGAGTTGTTGGAGTACAGCGGTGCTATCCCGGCTCACTGTGACCTCCACGTCCCTGGCTCAAGCGATTCTCCTGCCTCAGCCTCCTGAGTAGCTGGGATTACAGGCAAATGCCACCATGCCTGGCTAATTGTTGTATTTTAGTAGACACAGTATTTCACCATGTTGCCCAGGCTGGTCTCCACCTCCTGACCTTAAGTGATCCACCCGCCTCAGCCTCCCAAAGTGCTGCGATTACAGACGTGAGCCGCCACACCTAGCCCCCAATTAGTTTTGAGTTTCCTTATCCACTGGCTCGGGGAGCTGACCCAGGACAGGGACACTGTCTTGATCTGCAGATAAGGGGACTGAGGCCGAGAAGCAGCAGACACTTGCCCTTCATTGGCCAACAAGGCAGTAACAGAGCCAGGTGTGGAGCCCGTGACTATGCTCATCACACCTGGTGCTGGCCCTACCTGAACTGCTCGTACTCCTGCAAGACGCAGGGCCCGCGGCCCGGCAGCCACTTGCCCCCAAGATCCCAGTGGCCAACCCGGCGGATGTCCATGAAACACAGGGCGAGCTGGGGGCCGGGCAGAGCCGTGTAAAAGCTCAGGTGGGCGTGGCGTGGCAGCTCCCTGCGGGGAACCAGCTGGAAGGAGCCAGACATGCCGAAGCGGAAGACCAGGGCCAGCGGCTCCTGGGGGGGCTGGGCCCCAGGCAGGGGGCTGAGAGTCAGGCGCAGCTCCTTGCCACGTGCGGAAGCCGAGATGCGGTAGGCGCTGCTCTCAAAGGGCACCTCGGGGTTGCGGCTGACGGGGGACTTCTCCACGCAGCCCCCGAACACCAGCGCCCTGCAGGCCTCGTTCACAAACTGGCTGGCCAGGTGCAGCTCCGGGCCCTCGGGCATCCTGAGGGAGGGTGGCGGAGTCCTGTCGGGGAGGAAGGCAGCAGGATGAGCCCGGCGTGGACCTTGTGAGGTAGCGGCTGTCAGCCCCATTTTTAGAGGAGAACTCGGACGGTCGGAGGGGCACGCGGCCAGCTGCGGCTGGCGGGGAAGTGCGGGCCTGGCCACCGCCCCCAGTCCCCTCCCAGGACAAGAGCCTGGAAAGCCCAGGGCACTGGGAGCCGGGCGGCTAACGGCTTCCTTCCGTGAGCTTTCGGCACGTTTAGAGGAAGGTTCCATCCCGTGCGTGGCCGCGGCTCCCGCCCTGCTTCCTCCGGGTTCCCCTCAATCACTGGCTCTTCTCATCTCCGCCTTGGCCCCCCGCTGTCCCTCTGTCCCGGACACTTAAGGGAGCCTCCCCTCCGCACTCGCTGTCGCTTTCTTCAGGCCCTCCCACCATCTGAAAGGGCCTTAGGGTCTGTGGCCGCCCCTCCCTGCGCCCCCACCCCACCAAGGACACGCCGGATCTGTCGGCACAGGACGGAGGGAGAGCGTGCAGCCCGGCCTGGCGCGGGGGAGCTGTCGGATTGGACCCTCGGCCGCAGCGAGCCCGGGGCCTGCCCCACGGGCCGAACACCCCCGCGGCCACCCCCGGGCCAGGACGAAGTGGGGCTGCTACGGTGCGCTGGAGCCGCCCCCACGGCTCCGCACAAGGAGAGCGGGCACCAGGAAGGTCTCCCCGAGCTCTAGCCCAGTCCCGGGGGAGGTTAAGGGCCCGGGGCAGCGTCTGGTGCCTGGGGTAGGGGTATCCACTCCTGACCTTCGCCCTAACTGCTTTGCCTCTGTCGCCGGGCGGTTCCGGATGGGACGCGAAGGTGTGCCTGGAGTGGAAGGGGGCACTTAGCGACGGGAGATGCCGTTACCTCGCTGTCCCCGCACCTGGGCGCCGACCTGGGCCTGGGGCCCTCAAGGCTTGTTTTGAGGAAGGACTTAAGGCTCCAGATTCCTAGTTTTGGGGAGGAGCGGTGCTCTAGGGCCCGCCCTCCCCATGCTCCCGCTGAGACCTCGTCCTCCGTTAATCCTGGCTCCTCTTCTCCTCACATTTGGGAGCCAGAACCCTGATTTTCCTCTCAACAGACAAGCAGATGCATTTCGGTGCTCAGTCTGCCTCACCTGTGGCCTGCCTCGATCAGCAACTGACAAAAGAAAATGAGTGATGGACCAAGGAGGCCGGTAGGTCACTTTCGTTTCTCACAAAAGCCCTTGATCTGAACCCAAACAGAAACCCCTGTACACATTCCTTTTCCTTCTGTTTATTTTTCCTGCTCACGAAAATGGCCAACAACTGCCTTTCAAGGGAAGGGAAGGGAATGTTGGGAAAGGTCCTCAGGAGCCCTAAGCCGAGCTCTCATGAGAGAAGTGAGGCAGCCGGGGATCTGGGAGGCCAGAGCCCAGCTATGGCCCCAGTTTCCTAGAAGCGGGGCACCTCCTGAAGAGCAGTGCAGATGGCATGATTCCGTATAGGTTAAGGCGGCTCCACACAGGCCTGTAACTCCCTTCTCCTCAGCCCAGGGAGCTCATCAGGGTCTGGGCCTGCTTCAGCTCTGCAGAGGGAAGAGGTGGGCAGGCGGGAGGCAGTCAGGCAGGATCTGGGAGGAACCCTTAACCCTCCAGGAGTAGCTGAGCCTCACCTGCCAGGAGGACCTGGAACTTGTCTGCTGAGAGGGACATGGCAACAGGCTGGGCTGGGGTACCTGGGGCAGCTGCCACCTCCAGGCGCAGGTGCACCATAGGCTCTTCCACAGACTGCAGCAGGCTGGAGCTCAGGGTGTAGTCCACCCGCCAGCCCACACCTGCCAACCTATTTGCTGGGAGACGAGGTGGGTGGCTCTCAGGATCAAAGGCAGGAAAGCCAGTGGCCCTCAGCCCACACCCTGGCTCAGCCCTCAACCCTGAAAGGCTGTGTGGCCTCGAAGAAGCTCCCATCTCCCTGACCCAGGCTCAGAACAGGGCAGGTGCCCAACAGTCAGGAGTCTGGATCACGTACAGCAGACCTCAATGGCAAGAAACCTTAGCTGGAGTCAAGAGAACCAGGGCCAGGCCCCAGCTCTGCGGCTGCTCAGTATGTCACCTTGGTTAAGTCGTCTCCCTGGAGCTAGCACTTTGCATGCTGCATGCCCCTTCCAGAATGAGCCTGGAGCCTACCCTGGCTGGCCTCATACTTACTGCGGAGGCTGCAGACCCGCAAGTGCTTCTGCAAGGGAATTTGCTTCTCCTCGTAACAGCGGCACAAGGCTGGCCGCGTGCTCTGCAGGTGGAATGGAGGAGTTCTGGAGGTAGCAGGTGGGGGCTGGGCTTGGGCTGCTCAGAGGCAGGTCTCAGGCTCCTGGCCCAGAAAGGGCAGGGTACAGCTCAGGGTCACAGGGCCTGGTCCGCTCTCTAGCCGCCCTCGGCCCACAGGCTGCCCAGCTGCCCACCCACAACCCGTACCTTTGGGCAGCCCCAGCTGCTGCAGTTCACTGGACAAGGATTCGCCATCAACACTGTGCTTGGCCGCACTGGAGAGGATGAAGCTCAGCACTGCCACTGTGGCCTTCACATCGCCTGACTCTGAGGAACCCGTGGGAGGGGCAGGGGGTGTCACTGTGGCCCAGCCACCTCCCTATTGCCCTATTATCTTCAGCTCAAAGCCCACAGGCCTCCTGAGCCACAGGCACTGCTACTACTGCCCCATGAGGAGCTGGTGGTGGGGAGTGTGGGGGGTCGGGTTGGGAGTGTGGGGGGTGTCAGGTTGGGATTGTCGACGTCTTTCTTTCCCTCATGCTCTTCCACTAGGGAAGGTAGGTTAAGGACGCTGCTGGGAGAGATGGGTGGGCCCCTCTGTACCAGGCACCATGCCGAGTTCCCAGGGTTGCCGAGGACCTGTGGACTCAGCAGGGTACTCACCAAACTTGGTGTCAGCCGTGAGCTTCAGGATCTTCTCATACTATGGGGAAAGAGATCCTATAAGGAACAGACAGGCTGGAAAGAAGGATGGAAGATGCCCAGAGAGGCTGAGAGGATGGGTCAGCCGTCTCCCTGGGCCTGGTGAAGAGTTTGAGGGCAGTGCGGGTCATAAGGTCGTGGGCAATAGGGTGCTGGGTCTTTACTCACATCAGTCCCCTGTCCCAGCAGCTCCTTTAGTACCTGGCTGCAGAGCAGCCGCAACTTCACAGAGGACTGGAAGGGAAGTCCTCTTATCAGCCAGGCTGTCATACCTCACCCCACCTTCCTAGGCACTGGCTCAGAGCAGGCCAGCCGCTGATCAGTATCACAAGGCATTGTAGCACAGGCTGAGAGCACTGAGGTCCTAACCCCAGAGAAACCTCACCATCCTCTACACCCACAATCCCCAGCCCCAACGCCCCTCCTCCACCCAGAGTAGACCCTGTGCACTCAACCATCTTGGCCAGCGTGCTGATCTCTGCCAGGACCCAGTCGGGACAGTCCAGATCGCCACAGAACCGGAACCTCTGCAAGGGAGGGAGGCAGGTCATCAGGCTGGAGGGAGGGCTGAGGTGTGGCCAGGATCCGTGTGTGTCTCCCACAGTGCTGCCCAGCACAGACCCCTGGTCCCTGTCACAGATGAATACCCTCTGGCCACTTGTTCTCCCCTATCACCAGGCTGTTCAGTAAACTCTGCCTGACCCGCTTTGCCACCAAACCCTGCTGAGGTCTATTGCAGGCATTTATCTGCTCAGCGAACATCAACTGAGCGCCTTCTCTGTGCTAGCTCCCACTCTAAGGGCTGGGGGTACAGCAGGGGATAAAACAGAGTCCTGGGCCTCACAGACACGAGGGACCTCTCTCCCCTCTTCCCCAGACCCACACAGCTCCAGCCACTCCAGCTTCCCTGCTGCTGCTCAGGGACACCAGCCTTGCTCTGCCTCCATGCCTGCTACACTCTGTGTGGCTTGCTATCCTTTATTTCATCCTAGCCTCTGCTCAAGTGACACATCATCAGACAAGCCCTTCTTAAACAAAAAAACAAAAAAACACGCTCATGGCTGTAATCCCAGCACTTTGGGAGGCTGAGGCAGGTGGATCACCTGAGGTCAAGAGTTCGAGAACAGCCTGGCCAACATGACGAAACCCTGTCTCTACTAAAAATACAAAGATTAGCCAGGTATGGTGGTGCGTGCCTGTAATCCCAGCTACTAAGGGGAATGGAGCAGGAGGATTGCTTGAACCCGGGAGGTGGAGCTGCAGTGAGCTGAGATCCTGCCACTGCATTCCAGCCTGGGCAACAAAGCTTGACTCTGTCTCAAAAGAAAAAAAAATTTTTTTTAATTAGCCAGGCATAGTGATGCATGCCTGTGGTCCCAGCTACTCAGGAGGCTGAGGCAGGAGAATCGCTTGAACCCAGGAGGTGGAGGCTGCAGTGAGCCGAGATCAGCCACTGCACTCCAGTCTGGGCAACAAGAACGAAACTCCGAATCAGGGAAAAAAAAAAAAAAAAGAAAGAAAGACGGAGTCTCTCTCTCTCTGTTGCCCAGGATGTAGAGCAATGGCATTATCTCGGTTCCCAGCAACTTCTGCCTCCCAGATTCAAGTGATTCTCCTGCCTCAGCCTTCTGAGTAGCTGGGACTACCGGCATGCACCACCACCCCTGGCTAATTTTTTATTTTTCATATGGAGTTTCACTCTTCTTGCCCAGGCTGGAATGCAATGGCTCTATCTCAGTTCACTGCAACCTCTACTTCCTGGGTTCAAGCGATTCTCCTACCTCAGCCTCCCGAGTAGCTGAGATTACAGGCATGAGCCACTGCACCCAGCTAATTTTGTATTTTTAGTAGAGACAGGGTTTCACCACGTTGGCCATGCTGGTCTCGAACTCCTGACCTGATGTGATCTACCCTCCTCAACCTCCCAAAGTGCTGGGATGACAGGTGTGAGCCACCGCACCTGGGAAGACTGGCCCTTCTTGATCATACTTCCTAAAATAGCCCCTCACACAAAGAAATTTTGGGGCCAGTCGATATGCTCATTATTTTGATTGTGGTGACCCAAGAGCCAGGAAGATTTGGTCTTTACTTGTCCAGCCTCATCTTTCACTAACCTCCAGATGACACTCTCCCAGCTATATGACATGCATTCATTGCTGGGGAGCCATGCTCTCTCTCAGACCTAAGTCTCTGCACATGCTGTTCCCTGTCTGAAGACACACGCCTCACACCCTTACCTCCCAACCCCTGGGACAGAAACTGTGCTTCAGCCAGCCAGCTCCTGCCATCCCCCTTTAAGGTTGAAGTAATCCTCAGGAAGCTGCCTTAACCCTACACACAAGGCGCAGTTAGGTCTCTGTCCCTAGAGCCTTAACTATGACTGCCAATTCCCTCGGCAGCTGAGGTCCTCCCAGTGCCCAGCACACTGCATGGTATAGACGCGGCGCTCAGAAAGTACGGGTGGGTGGGTGGATGGGTGGGTGGATGGATGGATGAGTCTCAACCCAAGTACTACTACTTTCTGGCTCTGGAAGGAGCGGAGCGGCTTCCCAACAGTATGGAAGAGGGAGCCTGATTCTAAGCACGCTCCTGTCCAAGTCCCACAGCAGGGGTGGGGAAGTGGGCGTCCTTGGAAGGTCGTCTTGGGGCTGCGGAAGACCTGAAAGGACTCCAGCTCCAGACAAGCCCCAGTTCCTGCCCCGGGAGGCAGGGGCCCTTCCGTCCGCCAGGGAGGCAAGGGGACTCTAAGCCGCCGGCCGCGCTGTCTTACTCGCCCGCGTCTCGGGAACCGGCGGCCGCGGACTTTTCTCTACCAGACTCGCAGTCCTCACGCCCGCACACCCTGTGTTTGCGGAGAGGCCAGTGGAGACAACCTCCCCCGTTTCCGGAGCCACCGGCGCCCCCTCATTCCCGCTCCAGCAGCCCAGGCCTCGCTTCACCCCGGTGCCTCACCATCGCGCCAGGAAGCCCGCGCCGGGTAATTCCTTTTTCCGCTCGCGCCGGGTCAGCTGATTCCACCGTCACTTGACTTGGAGTCACGGCCTCTGGGTGGGAGGGGCCTGCTCGAGTGTGGCTGGGAGCGGACCGCCGCCCCCTGGAGGTGGCGAGGGCGAACTGCTGCGTCTCCTCCGTCTCCCAGAACCCTTCCCGGGAAAAAACCGGCGCTAACCGGCAGTTTAACAGAGGTCCGAATGCAGGCATTAGGAAAGACCGCGGAAGTTATTTCATTTAACTTAAGCGGGTAGGATCCCAGGAGCTAGGGTTCCAGGTCATTGCCACTATTAAGCAAATGCCATTATGCACAGCTGCGGGCTGTGGCAAAAGACGTATTTTGAAAACTTGAAATATACACATACAGAAAACTGTATATATTATAAATGTAAACTTTTTAAGTTTTCATAAACTGTAGACCTCACATAACCAGCACCCAGATTAGGAAACAACCAGATATCTTCTTCAAGTGCGTGTGTATTTTATTTCATTTTGATGAATCCTCTAAGCGCCCAGGGAAAAGGGCTGTCATCATTTACATGCTCAGGAAAACTCCCTACGACTTCGACATCAATAGAAGCTTATCTTAATGTTTGCCCATGGGATGGGGAAAAGAATCGGTTGCTTAGATTGCAGCGGTAGTCTGCTTAAGGGTGACTTTGAGCAAATGAGTAGTCTACAAAAAGTTAACTTTCCGACATTGATTTGAAGAGGCAAAAACAAAAAGACAAAACAACAAAAATACATTAGAGACTAGCCTAATAACCAAAGAAGAAATCGAATTCGGTCGTCGCTTAACAACCTCAAGATATTGGTTCCAGGACCCCAGAGATACCAAAATTCACAGATGCTCGAGTCCCTGATGTAATGTGGCATAGTACTTGCATATAACCTATGCACATCGTTCTGTAGACTTAAATCATCTCTAGATTGCGATAATGCCTAATGCAATGTACACGGTTTGTAAATAGCTGTTAAAAAGTATTTTGAAATTTTTGGGTTTTTTTTATTGTTTTACTTTTTCCGAATATTTTTGATGCACAGTTGGTTAAATCCAAGGATCCAGAACCTGAGGATACAGAGGGCTGACTACAGTTTGCATGCTCTCCTCAATTCCATGCCTATCCCATGCACTAGGTGCAGCTGGCTTTCTTGTTTCAGGCTTTGAAGCTTTCAAAGACAGAGCCCATGACAATTAAACTTCTCTATAAAATACAAAG